CACACATATTTCGAAATATAAAAAAAAAACACATCTTCCTATGGCTTGTGTATTTCGCCAGTTATAATAAGAATCACGTACCTATGCTTGAAGACGAGAATGACCAATTTCCCTGATGAAAGTACTTCTGTTGGCTGCGCGTGCGCGCACACCCCTGAGGGCCAACTAATTGGGGATAGTCCGAGACCGAGATAGGCCCTGAGTAACACCATCTGCTTATAAGCCAAAACTAGATCAGATTGTGAGAATTTATGCAGCCGAGTGTCTTTAAGAAGAACAACAATAAAGTGTTGTGGTGGTACAGTGAATTGTGTTAATTAGAGGTGCTTCACACTCACTTGTCCGAGCCTGATCCTTATCCGACCTGAAGAGAGATTCATCTCCACTAGCTAGTCAAACCCACAGCCAGCTTTCACATGCTCATTCCTTCCACTTTACTAAGAACCGTAAACAGTCTCTAGCTGTTTGCTGGCGCCCATACTATCAGATCCAATCCTGAAATCCAACCCCCAAAGGTCTCAAATGAAGGAAGAAGCGGTGGAGCCGGGTGAAGCAGAAACCAGCTACGCCCTAGCAACTTCGGCAGCGGCAATACCAGGTAGGGCAGCGTCAAAGTGGTCATCGGAGCAGAGGGCCCGATCGCCATCCACTCCCACTCCCTGCACTACTATGCAGACGGAGCCGCAGGCGAAGGAAGGAGATGGTTACAAGATATTATATGGCGCCGAACGTAAGGGCAACTGAGAGGACAGCTGTAAGTGACGACCAGCGTGTGGGGCTTGAAGTCTCACTGAGTGGGTCAATTATAATCCCTGTAACAGGACTGGTAGCCGATAAGATTGAGAGTCTTCGAGGATCCCGCATTTTCTAGACAATCGGCTCACAGATGGTGAGGATGTCAGCCTCAATCACTGGCAGCCCTTTACCCCCAGGAAGATTCCTGGTACTTATTTCTGTTAGATTCTGAGTCGACACCTAAGTCCGTAGTGAGGCTGGAAGGATTAGGTAAATTGAGAAGGTCAATGACCTCATAGGGAATCAGACCACCTCACTTCCGGCTTGCAGCATAATGCCTCAATCAACTACGATACCGCGTGCCCCGAGCACCACATATTATGATGGAATAGAAACTATATTCCAGCTACTGATAGCATTATAAATTATGCCACAGCAGGGAATAAATAAAGAAATATAGGGAGTGAATTTCAATCTTTCCTTAAAAAAGACAAAAGAAAAGAAAATGAAAAATGAGAAAATTAAATGGCAATAATTACAAAATCTGCAATTAGAAGAAAATTTTGCCCTTTATCTGAAAAAACTTATTGTAAAGAATTTACAGACTTCTGGCTACTGTTACTGCTCATCAACATACATGGCACTAACCGACTTAGACAGACAATTTGACGTCACATCATTAATAAGACTATGATTGAAGCAATTGCTTATTGCTTAGATGTATGTTTGGTGCTGTTAATGTCCCCTTGTTTAAGGGGTCTCACGTCAACCCAGCATGGCGCGGCCTCAGGTTACGGATGGAGGAGACGGCTTCCAGATGTGGAAGATGGCTGCGAATATTATGAATAAGCAGTCGCGGATAGAGGACAATGGGTCCTCCAGCTTCGGGATTGGGTGTGAGGCTAAAATCTCATCACCGTAAAAAACTAAACTTGTTACGTAATGTCATAAATGGGCCTCAGATTTGGAAGGATTCTCTGGATAAACGATACCTTAAACAAACACACAGGAACTTCAATAGACACTTGTAAGGAAGTTAGTCTAGAAGAAAACGCAGAGAAAATTTAGTATATTTTGCTGTTTCTCGCCAGAATTCGGGGTAAAAACATGACAAAAATAGTTGAGAGATCCTTTGAAGTGTGACGCAGTTCATTCACATATTTCGTAATGATAGTAAGAAATCAAAATTTGATTCAGGAGGAAATTACGAAGAGGTTGAATTTGGGTAATGCTTGCAAATATTCGGTAGTACAAGCATTTGTCTTTTCGTCTCTTGTGTAAAAAAGAGCAAAAAAATAGAGCATACAGAACTATAATTTAGTCTGCGGTTCTGTATGGGTGTGAAACTTTGTCCCTGACATTTCTTATTGGAGGGATTGCTACTCTTGGTCTCTTGAATTTTTTTGTAGCCTTCCATATAAAACGATCATCAGGTGCTAGACGTGATATATAATGTTGGAAAGAGGCATTACGGGATTTATTTATGCTGAGTGGAACCTATGGGTGAGCCTGTTTAGATGAGTTCTGTCTTGTTAGTTTGTGATGCTTGCCAGCTTCTGTGTGCGACGATTCTCTAATACGTAGCGGTACATTATAGTAGTTCTGTTGTTGTTTTTATTTACAGCAGGTGTTGCTTTACAGGCCGCGTTTTGTGTGAGGGTTGTCCAGTATTCGACTGCTTCGTTGATGTCTGTTTGCTCTTTAAGTCTGAGATTTAAATTTATGTCTACATATTTACTCCAGTCTGTATGTTTTGTACAGAGTTTGGGAGTTGTCTTCTTTAGTATGGCATGGGTGCTCAAGGTTACAATAATTGCACTATGAACTGAAACTAGATTTAAATTACCTTATATTTCCGTATATATGTCTGAGATTCCTAAACGTGATCTGAAGAGAATATTTGGATGTACAAGTGGCGACACCAAGTATGAGTATGATTAGACTTGAATCCGTTTCATTGGCGCCCACTTACTAATACATGTTTCAGTGACAACTTCTAGGTACCATGGTATTTTGTCCATGATAGGCACTTGGTACAAGAGTCTCAACTGCGACAGTGAAACTTCAACACCCTCACACATGCTGCAATCTGCATCATAACTTCTGTATTGCCCCCTTAAGAGAGAGCACGTTGTAGCATAGTTGGTTGAGGCACTATACTACGAGCCAGAAGTTTGTGGGTTCAATTTCTGATCAGGTCAACGGATTGTTCAATTGACCTAATCCTTCCAGCCACACTATGGTCCTAGGGTCAACTCATCTTTGAACAGAAATGGCCACCAGGAATCTTCCTGGGTGTAAATGGAGACTGGCGCATGAGGCTCCTCCCACAGTGAGTAAAAGAGATTGAAGAAGATTTTGCAGAAAATAGTTAATTTTTAGAGAACCTAGGCGAATTTGGCTTTCAGATGGATAACAAATTGCTGAAACCAAATGAATGTGATGTTATTGCTAGCTGGAACTTGTAACCCTCCGTAGCTTGTAACATAAACTTCAGAAGAAGTCTCGATGTGGTTTTCTTGGTTAGATCTCGTAGTATGAAGAAACCAACATGTCACCCCGACACCTTCGTAACCTTCTATCAAAAGACACCACGTCAAATCCCAGAAAAGAGAAGTCTTAAAACCTGAATACATATCGATACATAGGCCTACACGAGTAAGCCTATTTCGTAAATATATTTATTTGTTGCTTAATTAATGATACTTTCATCAGCGCAGGCTCTGGTATCGTGTTGTGGGATGAGAAGTTAACATGAATTGAGAAGAGTATGGAAGGGAAAGCTTATGGCCTAATTTAGATAATATCGAACCTTATGTCGGGATGAACTGAGTAAAATACGAAATATTTCAGTCAGGATGGTCATTCTTCGGGGCGAGTTTTTATTACAAAACAGTAATATTGATCAGATTATAAGCAAAACCACACAAGGAAAATGAATATTTTGTTTGTATTTCTTACAATGTACCCATTTCTAGAAAATATTAAAAGGGCCTGCAAAATTTAACTTCGATGACCACCCTGCGTCTTCAAACGTGTACCATTCAATTGACCGTCCTACAGGAAGAGGTAGGGGAGAGTTACCTTACTGGTAAGCACAGCCATCCTGAGGAACCTGTCAAAGAGCTCGTTTCCAAAGTTACGCTTTATGGTTAAATGCGGTATCTTAGCACGCAAGCATGTTCTGTAAATGTTCGTAACAGACACATCATATTCTGTTATTAATATGTACATGTCTGAGTACACCCTACTTGCATTTGAAATGGCCGCGCCATAGCTCAAGCTGTTAGTCGCTGGCTTCCCACCGCGGCGGCCCGTGTTCGATCCCGGGTCTGTTCAAGTGGGATTTGTGGTGGAGAAGTGGCGCTGGGGCAGGTTTTCTCCGAGTACTTCGGTATCCCCTGCCAATCTTCATTCCACCAATTGCTCCACAATCACCCTCACCTATCATCTGGGGCTGGTACAATAGGCCAGAAGTGGTCGCAGTGCAGAGGACATAGTCCCACCCCGCTAGCAATAAAAAAAATACATTAATATGAATGTTTATTGTCTTGTCTTCATTGATGTGCATAATTATAGCCTATGTTAGCCACAGAATCATATTCCAACGTCTCCATGAACTTTCTCTTAACTGTTCTCCTATTAATTGTTCTTGTAGTTCCGTATGTGCCTGCATGTATTAATGGTAAAAGTAAACATTCAAATTCACGAAGAAACCGAATCAAGCAGCAACTTTGCTGACTTGCATTCGGAAGATGCCAGCTTCAAATCTCGAATTATTTATTTGTCCCAAGGTATCTCTTTGACATACGACAACTCGGTGGATATGTATTCTTATATGTTTACTTATATTTCCCAGTTTTACAAGGATTATATACTTTATACGAAGTTATAAAATAATATTAAAATAAACTGAAGAAATCTTAATTAAACCGTGACCCTGCTGATTTCTCGGAAAACCGGAACACGTAAAGAGTAAGGACATAACGAAAAAATGTAAACAAAAGGGAGCACGTCAGCTTATTTGCCGTACAATTAGCATTTGGTGTCATTAGGATTATTTACAATCATTTTCCAATTCACCAACATATCAGATATTTTGAAACATTCATGGTTTCAATAGGTGAGCATTATCAGCATCATAAATGAAGGTTTCAACGTTTATGGATAGCCTGTACCATATCCACTCTTTACCACCCCCTTATTTACTATATCACGGGGTTCTTGCATGGAGGGGGTGAGACCATGCTACCAGGTCAGAATTTAGTTTTGAACTAACTGACGAGGTGAGCGGATGTCTAGCCGGAAGTCTCGGGAACATGGGGCATCTCTTGATGTAAGTATATGCTTATGGTTATTGAATGCATATTAACTTTTGTTCTACATCCAGTTTAGTTTTGAATCATTAATTCGGTACTTATAAAATATAAAATTTTAGTTTTAGATATTTGTAATAACCGTTCAATCACGGAAGAATGAATTCGTTACTACGTGCTACTTCTGGAAAAAGAAATTTAAAATTCTAACGAATTAACAATCTTCTGGAAAACGTATTCCCTATCTCGAAATATGAGAGCAGTTTCTTCTGTTTCAGAAAAACCCATTTCTGTGGCAGGATTAAGAAGTTTTACTTTCACGTCACTGTCTTAAACGTAGATCCTATCCAGTTAGTACGTTCTTGCAGAGACAGTAGAAGGTACAGGAAGTGATTTCACGTCACGTGGAAGGGAAGACTGAGTTGCGAAGAAGCCTCGAAATATTTGTAGGCGGTTTGTAACGATATACCACTTCAATGTTCAAGTGAAAGTTCTATGTATTCCTTATTTTAATAGATACACGCCATCCCTTGAAGTCTGATATCAACAGACCCGTTAAACCACCATATGTTTCCTAAAGTTGTTAACTATAGCGTATATGTAATTTTCTGTGCAAAATTATATTTCTTTTGTATATATTTCTTATAACCCTCACCGTTATTATAAAGTCTGATATATATTGTATTTATATATATTTAACAATATAATATGCATATTCATTTTACTTTCATGAGTTTGCTTTCGACAACGAAAATTGATTAATTTACTCTCTCTACCACTAGACACTCCGATATATTTTTCTGATTCTGTGGTTACCACTTCACGATATCTCGTTATTCTAAAGTATAAGTGGAAAATTATCTGATAATTAATCATCAGATCCTAAGGAGCAAAGCGAGCTAGAAAGGAGTGAAATCTGGAAGAGGGAAGGCGCACAGCGTCCTGCCGATCTGATGAGACACGTGAAATTTGTCCGAACTTTGGTGTTGTTTTGAGTTTAATATCGCGATATAATTTTTCTACTTTGTCATAGGGTATAGAACGTACCGTGCCAGCAAGCAAACGAAACTTTAAAGTAAATGCATATTTTGAGGTCTCAGTGTAAGTGCAGTCTTGTAATTTGCTGTACCTGAAACTTCATACTTCTTTTTCGAGTTGCGTCCCAGATCTCTTTACAAATTTAGACGGAAAATTTTGCGTTGGGTCACAATTTTAGCATCCTCTCTGTGGTCTAATAAATTTATCATTCTTAATGTGAAAATATTGCTTCCAGTATGAATGCAATTTTCTTCGCTATTGAATAAGATCAAGGGGCAGAGTAGCGTAATGGGCCTTCATGTTCCTTGTATATAAATAGGTAAGGCAAATTGAAGTTTGACAGAACGAGTTGCAATTCCATAAATTCTTTATACCTTATTCAGGCGATGTTCAAATGGAAGCACTGCCGAACCGAGAGACTGGCTACCTTTACTGAGATATTTAGTGGCCTTCCTTAATCCCAGTAAGCAAATTCAGATAACTCAGTTAAGTGAGACTGTTCTGTAAATCCCTTCAGCTCCTCTCTTAGTCCTTCATTCTGAGCTATATAATCTGGCTGCAACGGCACGTCGCTACACTTTAATGTAGGTTTTGAGTCAGTACGCGTGATCCAGCCGAAAACACTTTATTTCTTGCATGTTTACAAAAAATGCGAAACTTTGTTGTGTTGTGTTGTGTTGTGTTGTGTTACTAATAATGATATGTCCGTCTCTTGGTGTTCCAATAAATAATGTGCGGGCCATGACATTGACTCTCCTACAGTATATTCTTCACAAGGAGTTGGGCAGGCGATGCCCTTTATATATGATTACAATTGGCCTAATTTTAAGAATTGTCAGGCCCTGGTCTAGAAGCAACGATACTTAGATCTACATGAATTGTTTGTTTCTTATAAATTTAAAATAATTTTACACCCTTCTCTTCGTATTGTCACCAGTGCGTATTTATTGGCAGTCGTCTTAATGTCAATGGCAACAATGTAATTTTAAATGTTTTAAGAAGTGTGATAGAAATGGCGTTTTTAATAAAAATATCTCCAGAAAGATTCTTTTTTATAACTGCAGGTTTTTGGAGGAAAATTGTCCATCCCGAAGTGATAATCAGGTTTGCATTGGCCTTGACGTATATCCTTTAAAGAATGAAAAAGAAATGCCATGTGCACGAAAGTATACCATAAGTTTCGAATTCCCCATTTTACATTTTGAGTATCCCCTTTTTGCAGTGTACAAATTATTATTTTATACTACAGATTAGTGATAATGTGTTATTCTCGAGGAATCGGTAAGATTAATTTTCTTTCAAGTACTCCAGGAAATAGGAATTTTCGCACTAATATTCATTCAATTGTTCGAGAGGAACATGGACATGTACTAAAGAATTGGACTTAGTTATGATGCGTTGAGCAAATTAATTGGTTTACTTACGCTTATCAGTGGTCAGTTTACTGCTGTAACTAACCTATCAACTACATGTTTCATGTTGCAGAGTTCCCATTGTGGAGCAAGGCAAGCAGACTTCCCACTTTCCAGACGGTTCGAAACATCGAAGCAGGGAACAGGGGAATCAAAAGTAATAGAGAGCTTTTATCATTCCCTATTCAATAGTGTTAATGCAGTTGAGAGCAGTTAAAGGATTGAGCCCTAGAATCAAAATAGGACGAGTGCAATAGTGTGAATTTTATGATTAGTGTACTACCATGCATTTTAAAATCACTGCCTTAGCGTGCATTTAAAGACGGGGCACTCGTGTGCATTTTAGAAATAGAGCACTAGCGTGCATATTAGAATTAGAGCACTAGCGTGCATATTATTAGAATTAGGGTACTAGCGTGCAATTATTAGAATGAGTACTAGCGTGCATATTAGAATGACCACTAGCGTGCATATTAAAATTAGAGCACTAGGGGGCATATTATTAGAATTAAGGCACTAGCGTGCAATTATTAGAATGAGCACTAGCGTGCATATTAGAATGAGCACTAACCTGCATATTAGAAAATGAGCACGAGTGTGCATATTATTAGAATTAGAGCACTAGCGTGAATATAAGAATGAGCACTATCGTGCATATTAAAATTAGAACACTAGCGTGTAATTATTAGAATTAGGGCACTAGACTGTAGTTATTAGAATTAGAGCACTAGCGTGCATATTATTAGAATTAGGGCACTAGCGTGCAATTATTAGAATGAGCACTAGCGCGCATATTATTAGAATTAGGGCTCTAGTGTTGATATTATTAGGATAAGGGCACCAGTGTGTATATGTTTTTTTAATGAGAGGACACTAAGAGTGCCTGTGGTCTTTTGGTGAGAAGGCACTAAGAGTGCCTGTGACCTTTTTGATGAGAGGTCAGTAAGAAGGCCTGTGGTTCTTCAGTGAGAGGTCATTAAGTGTTTCTGTGGTTTTTTTGGTGAGAAGACACTAAGAGTGCCTGTGGTCTTTTCAAGAGAGAGCACTAAAGGTGCATGTGGTCTTTTGATGAGAGGACAGTAGTGTGCATTTTGTTAGTTCGTGAGGGCAGTAGAGCGCACTTGGTTTGTTGGTGGGTGGGAGTAGTAAAGCAGTGTCTGTCTTTTTTTTTTAAGCTGTAGAGTGCCGTTCGATGATGAGAGCACTAATTTTCCTTTCGTTTGTTGGTGACAACACCAGAATGTCGAATGCATGAAGAATTACGCAGTTTTTCCAAGGTACCAAACATTGCGATAGGGGTTTCACTTATATGAATATAGCTCTCCGTAATGTTATAACCAAACTTCATTTAATTGATTTCGATGAAGTCCTACGAGATTACATATTTTGGCTTGAAGGAAGACAAATACATTTCATTAATGAACTTCCCCATAGGGAATTTAATAATAAATTTATGCCCGATTATGAGATGCTGAAATATGATTATGTAATCAAGTGTTTCAAGAAGAGTAGTCGATTTAATGCACATATTACTTTTTATCTTATTACTTATTATTCATGCTTTGCTTTATATCAAAATAGTATGCACAATTTTAATTGACAAATAATATGTGCGCTATCGTGCCGTAAATTCCCAATGAGCTTGTAGAGTGTCAAGCAAGTGTTCAAATGAATAGTATTTTAATTTATACTCTTATATGGAAAACTTAATATTCGTAATTTATGGTCATTTCTATATCATGTGAAATCAGTATGTTCTTGTATTGTGGCTATATGACTGGAAAACTGAAATATCGTAATGAGTGTGTACAGAGTTTTGACAAAATTATTATACAATACATAACTGTGAAACAAAATTCAATTCTAAAAATTATAAAGGAACAATATTTCAGATTATATCAGTCTAAATTTATTATAATGGAATCATATTCAGATAGACTCAATGTTTATTAATAAAATAATTTCCTTTAAACATTTTCAAAAGATATATTAGCACCCCAGTCAAGATGAAGAGAATTTCGTACTTTTTAATAAACTATATACATTAGGAAAAAATTCTGAAGCTGGCCAGTACAGACCACAAAACAAAAAATGTAACATAGAACAGTTGACTGCTGCCGTCCTGTTTGCAGACGAGCTTCACAAGTATGTGAGAAGATGACTCTACCTTCTTGGGATGTCCACCTTTCCGTCTCTCAAGAAAAAGAACATTTCCTCCTCCGTAGGATCACGGACGGCTCATCCCTGGAAGAATTCAACGTATTTACCATCCTGCCTACAGTGCTACAGCCTCAACCAGACCCCTCTGCATCGCAGGAAACTTTAAGGACCTCATCGAACAGTAGGATAGCGACAAGGTTTCTGGGGTACTACAGAACCGTGGCCGCGTACCCAACCGTACCGGTCGCGGATGGAGACTTTGTAGAATGTGTGTATGTCTACTTCTGAGTATTGCTGCTAATGCACTAGAATACTTGGTGGTTCCGCACGTAATTAAATTATCTTGAATTTGTTGAATAACAGAATGCTTACAAGGTGATCAGTAAATTCTTAAAGCAAGCTCATTTTTCTAAAATATAAAGCATGAATATTTTCAAAAACAAATCTATCGATTTCTTGTTTATGCTAAATAATGTACCCTTAACACGGACCTTACGTCTACCGCTGAAATGATCCCTTTCGTAGGAGGTTCATGGCCAATCATTTTGTTTTTTGTAACAACTAGAAATTACTATCCCTGCATACATTCTGCCTCCATCTATAATGAGATTGGAGTTTTCACCAGCACTGGTTCAGCAAATTCACTCACTGGCCTGTCTCCGGTTGACGAAACTTTACCAATCTCCGTAGATATTACAGACTACTCTGTGCTGCTACATTCATAAAGAGTGTTTTGAAAATTAGATACCAAACTATTGTACGATCAGCATTCCACATTCGTAGCAAGTTCACATTACTATCTGGATCTGATTTATTGAGTGTTAGCTTGGTATGGAGCTACAAAAGTCACGGCTGTAGTAGGCAATTTGCAGCTATGCCAAAACGAATTCTTCTAACATGCGTGTTTCTGTTTCAGGAATGTTTTCTATTTTCATTGCAATGTGTATTGTTATTGTATTGGTGTTGGATTGTGGGGGTAGCTGCATCTTGTCGGACAGGGAACACATGGTCCCTATGTTCATGTCAATTTTGTACAAAGTGTTCAATTTGAAGATGTGATTTTGGCAAAGATTTTTTTTTTAACAATTTGCTTTTAAGAAGAATAGAGCATGAAGAGCTTGCAGCTGTTCTCCATCTTCAAAATTTGTTCCCTTTCGATTGTCAGATATTGTCACATGGGGGGAGGGAGAGGGTACCAGGATGGCTGGAGTAGTTGCAAGTTCTGTAGAGATTTCGCTTGAAACAGCCATATCCTTTGCCTGAGAATGGTGATTGTATGTGGGAAATAGAGAACTCTGAAGTTTTATTCCAAATCGCATTGCTACTGATTCTGGGAAGCTTCTAGAAATGAACACATCCTTCGTACATGCCTCGTAGAGAAGTCTGTAACAGTGGTATGGAATTTCCTCACGTGGTCTCTGTTTCGGATATGCGTTCTGGAAATTGCAGGTATGTCATATCCCCCCTTCCATATCCTGTGTCTCAACGTGGCAATGGGGTGAACCTCATTATGCATGTGTTACACGTTACCATTCATTGTAGAGAAAGGTACGAAGGGCCAAAAACAAAGTAGAATTTTTGGAGTGTACGACAATATAATTTCAACAGTTCTGGAGCCTGATTTGATGATACTGGTTCTATTTCTCAGATATCAGATATGGCAGACATGTTCTTTCATGTATTTGAACGATGAAAGTCGGGCGTGAAATGAGAACTTCTAACATATTCACTTTCGGCCTCGTCCGCTGAAAGTTTGAAGGTTATCCCGTCCAGATCAGTGTTCCGCAGCACACAAATGTTTTGTTTGTTCTTCTGAAGATATCACTCAAATACGAAGAAAATATAGGTTATGGAAGCATGAAAGTGAAAGAATGCCGTCACGATAAACTTTATTTCCGAATTTATTAATTCAAACTCCAGATTTCATTTAAAAATTTCTGTCATGCAATTAGGCTCTCAGTACAGATATATAAGACTAAATGTGTAAGATTTGAGGCTTAAAATTTAATTAAAATTAAGGTATAAATGAGCTACTAGATGTCTGTATGAATATTATTACGTATGGTACAGTCATCTGACTCTGGCACTTTACATCACATTGGCTTCCTGGATTTCGATATAAAAATATGAGCTGAGAAATGTGTACATCGTTTTTATGATAACATATTAGAATTGTGTGTACATACATCAATGATTGTCAAATATAGCACAAGCAGTAACTTGATTAAAATCCAAAATTTTGTAATATATATTAATATATTCTTTGTTTCTGTGCATATGCCATCGATATGATTTTTATATGAACACAACGTTTCGGAGACTAAAATCTGTATTCGTCTTCAGGTGGAATCTACTCAGTTGAGCCCGACCGATAGGGCTATTCACTATCCGGAAACCGACCCCAACACAAATTAGGGCATAAAACGTTAGCACAGCATAAACGAACTGAGCGAGTTAAAACAAATATTAAAGCATAAAAAAATCCACACATGAAGCCTAGCACCCACATTTCACATATTTTTCACGTCTTTTCTTGTTAAAATCGTAATATTATTAATGAAGAGAAAAATTCTCTGTATTCTATAGATAAAACCACAATGTTGACACCTAATCTACACTGGACGTTGAGTTGTAGTGTTCCGAATTCAGATGCGAAAATGGCAGTCCAGCTGGGAGATACGTGCAAGTTGGGTTGAATTTTCGGATGATTCACCAGACACATGTTGTCCGAATCTCTTATTCTCAGCCTCATTTTTCTTTCCTCTTGAATCAAATTTTGATTTGTTAATGTTGTTACGACTTATTTGAACTCTGTCACATTTTCAAAGCAACTGCTAGCTATGTTTGGGATTACAGGAAAATTGTCAAATATTTACCTACGTTATATTTTCGTGTCTCGTTAAACATGTGTTCAGCCTAACAAATTTCGGAAATGCCCAAATTCTGTGAGAATACTCTAGAATACTTCCCCCTTAACTGACTCGTAGGAATGCTAGAAGTCTACAAATTGCTGATGTTCTGTAATATTGTACTCCCATTTTTATCTCCAGTATCTGACGAATGAAAAATTCTGAACATTAGCTGACCAATGTAGATTAAGGGTAAAAAAGTTTCTTATATTTTTACCATGCAGAGAATCTGTTTCTTTAATGATGACTTCTATTCTGATAACACTCCTTTTTAAAAAATTATTACCGCTAAAATGTGCATGGATGCAGATGCTAGGCCTCGCGTGTGTGGAATTTTTTCTTAACCCTCGCAGATGTTCTTCCGTTGTGCGTGGTTTACATACCCAGTCCTGTGTTCGTGTTTGTACCCGGAGATATGTGCTAGAACTCTCGATTGGGACCAACAGTAGATTCCAATTTTAGAGGACACAGAATTCAGTCTCCTGAACGTTTTGTTTTGAATAACAGCAATTCGATGTGTGCAGCCCAGAAACAAAATAATTATTGAAATTTATCTTCTGGTATGTGCGGTTTTGTAGAGGGGTATCAAAGTTCACAGGCACATTGTTAGGAGCATAATTATATATCGTAAATAAACAAAGCGTTGTATGAGTAAACATTTTATTACAAGTAAAGATTGTAGCTAATAAACCTCTTTGTATTATTATTATTATTATTATTCCTTATATTATAAACAAAAGTACAGTGGATAAAGTACATAAATATTATATTTATTGTAATCAAACAATATGAGGGTTGGGGGCCGCGAGCAAAAGAAAGGTTGAGAACCACTGACCTAAAGTAACGGAAACAAGAGACGAGTCGGTTTCAGAACTTCTGATATCATGGCCAGTATTTACACGAGATGCCTGATGAATACGCACTAGATGAATGGTACTGTCTTCTGAGGCTTAATTGATTGAACTTTACTTACGTTTTTCGGAGAACATTTGGAAAATTCTACCAAACTTCACAGTATAGCTTCTCACGAGACGGCACTCTTCATTGTCGCCGTCACGACAACTTCAAATCTGACAGAAGTCTGATATGTTAAAACTGAAGGAACCGAATTAGGGTTGCATCCAACTTATTTCTTTTCTTCACTACTTTCCTATCAACAGTACTGATATGTGTTTGTGAGATGGCAATGCTCCTAATTTATATTCACATGGTTTCTGATTCAAGTCGCTCGTAGATTGCCCTCTATATTGACAGCGGTGTTATTAGTTTTTCCTCTGTCTCTCAAACATGAATGCTGGGGTCATGGGGCCAAATAAATTTAAAAATAAATCGCCATCTGAAGCAATAATTGTTGCATATTGTACATAGGAAGAGGCCCGTCTTTGAACAGGACATGACAGCAACCTTCAAAATAATCATCATCTTATAATTCGTGGTCGTCTTGTCATCTCAGTCACAGCCACACATCCTCTACAGTTGATACAGCGTCATTTGCGTGATAATCCCACCAAGTGCTTGTTTCTATAAATTGTAATGACTTTGAGATTTCACGTAAGAACTGTTTAAACATAATAAGGAACTCCCTTTCTAACTTGATTAAATTTCCCTTTACTTAATTTAACTTAGTGCAAAACAAAGAACTGCCAAAATCTAACACAGCCACATAAAATGTGAAGTCGGTCTGGTTTTAATGTGAGCAGACGTTTAGGTCTGTACTAAACCATAAATAAATATTTCTAAACCATTCTGAAATCCACAGCTACATTAAAGTAAGCTTACATTGAAAATGACGACGACGACGACGACGACGACGACGACAATAGAAATAGGCTATTAATAACTGCATGAACTCCAGGATAGTGTTCATAGATTTAGTGCATTTAAGTGGGACAACTTTGATAAAACGTCTACAATCTGACAGTTTTGGATTTGCATATTACCAACGTAGTTTAAATAACATAATTTTTACCAACAGGAAGTTACAGCAATTCGGGTAGCGTATCCTTGTGTAAGGGAAATAATAGCAAACTTTCTTTATATTTCTTTTAATTTGAATAGTGGGGGTGGAGTTCAACTGGGTTCACGTGGCATGTCGGCCACCAATTGACCTATTGTACCTGNTAGGGATGAAAAATCCTGAACAATTTTAATATTTTTAATATTTAATATTTATCAATATATATGATAAATATATATTTTAGTTATTTTAATATGAAGACGGCAAGGCATGCAGTGAACTAGTTTAACGTAAATCGAATAAGCACCTGAAGATGGCACTTTTGTGCCGAAACATGTAGTGCGAGAGAGAGGAGTGAGATAGATGAGTGTATGCACTGGAAGACGGTTAAAATAAATCATGGACTTAAATCAGTGCAACAGGACGCTAAAATATAACATGACTGAAGTAATTATCTTTTTCGAAACCTCCTGATCGATTGAGAAAGAATATCTTATATGAATCCAAGAATTACCACCATTGCATTCAAGGCCCTGAGACACATTCGGTAATGTCTTTCAATTCGTGAACATTTCCTTATGTTTGATGATACCAGTGGGTAGACGGCAGGAGTGCTCCAACTTTGTGCAGCGACATCTGTTACCAATTTCATATAGTACTACAGTCTCCACTAGATGGCAGGGAGACTGATTTTTCTCTGCGCTGTACTGCCTACTACTGCAGTATAAAAATCATGACATAAATGTAAGAGTAAATTAATTTGAATTTATATTCTCAAATTACTGTACTCCCAAGTAATTTATTTTGCAAGAAACCAGCTACATTGTAGTCACCTTACCGACCACTTCGAAATATTCCTGGGTATTTGAGACTTCATACGAATCGCTTAGTGACGGTTTAAAACCGGAAGTCTTGGGAGGAAAAGTATCTTATGTAGGTAAGGCCGCGCCATAGCTCAAGCGGTTAGTCGCTGGCTTCCCACCGCGGCGGCCCGTGTTCGAGCCAGGGTCTGGTCAAGTGGGATTTGTGGTGGACAAAGTGGAGCTGGGGCAGGTTTTCTCCGAGTACTTCGGTTTCTCCTGCAAATCTATATTCCACCAAATTCTCTATCATAATCACCCTGGGCAGATACAATAGGCCAAACAGTGGCCGACGTGCCGAGTGGACACAGCTGGACTCCACCCCCCACTATTCAAAAAAGAAAACTTTTGTACTTTGGCTCACAATTTCGGTTAAAACTGCAATTTATGACAGCATGTTCCAGGTTCCTATCTTCTGTACATGAATCTAACCAATAGATCGGCTTTCTCAGTACAGGGGGTGAGGTAGCTAATTTATTTTGGACAGATTTGGCAATCTATCTTCCCCTTAAGCTCGTAATTTATTTTTCGTGACAAATTCTAGATCAAAGTTGATATAATATTTTGAAGGATATTACTGACTGACAGACTGACATGGCTGAGTAATTCCACTCAAGCTTATAGACGTTAACCTGGTTAAAAAATAGGCAGCACCATTTGTGAAACCCGAAATTTGTTACCATATTGCAAGACCCTTCACATGTCCAAAGCCATATGAATCCAAGGGTTATGTCTTCTGGGATATACTCCGTGCAGCTCATCATAACCACCACTGTGAGAACTTCAGATCCGACACATCGATCCAATTCACACTTACGCATTATTTCTTAAGCACAGCAAATCCTCCACTGATCCGGATTATTTGGGGGAGGTCATCCGGGTTAAGCGATAATCCTAGTTAATGAAGCAAAATGTAGCACTTAAACGCAAGAGAAACATAGAACACGAATAAATGGAAATTTAATGACGTAAGTAATGATGAAAATAAAAAATATCATCGTAGAAACTTTATTATAAAAAAAAGAAGATATTACATTTATTCGTCTTAGAAGTTGTACTTGTTTTCGAAAGTAATAATGCACCTAATGCCGGCTCTTCATTACGTAATTCTCTCCATTCTCCAGTTACCTCTTTCTTATCTCTAAGTACAGAGGGGTCCACAATATTTACTCACTTTTGATAGTCAATATCTTTGGAACAAAATGGTATGTAGTTACAATTCCTGCGCGGAGAGAGAGAGAGAGAGAGAGAGAGAGAGAGGGAGAGAGAGAGTCATTGTATGCATTCGAAGTGACCACCATCAGCAGCTAAACAGCGTCGATGCCGCCGAACTGCTGAGCGAACTACGGCTGTCAGTGTGTCCGGTGTGAAGGCTGCACACGACGCTTCGATGGTTTCTCGTAGCGCGTTCAGTGTAGCTGGCTTTTGTCGATAAACTTCATCCTTCAAGGTTCCCCATAGGTAGAAGTCGAGAGGTATTAGGTCTGGAGACCGTGGTGGGTACTCAGTAGCACCTCTTCGACCTATCCATCCTCCAGGTAGAGTGTCATCCAAGTACGCCCTATCATCTCGATGGTAGTGAGGTGGACCACCATCCTGTTGTAGATAAAATCTATCATCTCTAAACAGCTATCGAATGGCAGGGAAAATCGATGTCTGAAGCATATCGAGATACACTTGACTAGTTACGGTAATGTTGTAACACTATAGCACTGGAAGCTGGAATTGTTACTATCCGTGGTCCCCCAGAGCTTTGCTTATGCACATCATGGACAGTACCGTCGGCTTCAAATTTATTCCGAATACGGACAATTGTTCGACCTGTTGGTGGCTGAGTTCCAAACTCATTCTGCCATTGTTGTACCTCTTTAATGTTCTCGTACTTCCAGTACCACTTCAATACAGCCTTGCGTTGCTCAAAGAACAAACTTTCAGCCATTGTTGCTGCTGTCTTCTGCTCGCAGCGCGCACGCGGCACGACACTCACGTGACTTATGTGACCTTCACCATCTGAGAAAACATTACACTACGCTACGACGTAAGAATTGTAACTACATGTCATTTCGTTCCAAAGATATTGACTATCAAAGAGTGGGCATATTTTTTGGACTCGCCGTATTCTCCTGAGAATCATGTTCTCAGAAATTCTCATTTTACATACTTTTGGAGGGATTCAAACAAAGGAGCGTAAAGACCATTGCGTCAGCAATCGATTAAAGGAGCGATTTTGCAGTAAGACTACATTTGAACTGCCAACTCGCTGATGTTGAAACGCGAGGGAAAGTGGTATTAACTTCAGTGAACGTGGGGTACAGACAACGCGCCGTTGTGCAGTTCACTGACTTCCACTGCCATCTGTTGGAGAAAGTAGTAACAACGAGCTAACGTGGCGTTTATTCGAGGACGACATCTGGTCGCAACGGCAGGAAAGTATAAACGTGTTGAAGCAAAGGAGTTCAAGGCTTTAAAACGCAGTGCCTTAAACAGCATCAATAACATTTGATGAGAAAGCGTGCATTCTATGACGTAGGAATTGAATTTTAAATGTTATTTAGATGAATTCCAGCTTTCAGTGTGTCCTGTGAGCTTCCATTCCTCATAAATACTAGACCTTTAGACTTACATAAATCGTAGTAGAAATATAAGTTGGAATATATTACACTGACCCATCATTCTCTCGACAAACGCCGAACAGTGCGGACGTGAAATCGAGTGTACCGTATATAGTGCTACGCTTCCTAGTGGGACTTCGTAACGCACACACGCAGTACAGAGTCGCCTCTAAGAGCCTACTATTTAATTAAACGATACTACAACCGACCAAACAAGACATCATTCAGTGTATCCATATTAAACAGTGATTATAAAACAAG